TGCGCCACCCACCTCGAGATATAAGTTCTAAAGTCTCAGTATAGTTACAACGGCTACCCCACCCTTCGAGTCGAAACGCATTACTGCTTCACGGCGGAAATAGGCAGGGTGTATATAGGTAACTATTTAGTCTTATGGTGAAGTGAAAGTCTTCTTTGAATAACGAGAAAACGCATAGATTATGAACCAGCAAACAATCAAATGAAAATTAGATTGTAGTATATTCTTATCTAACACCTGGGATCCTGTTATCGCGAAGATAAAATCTCACGTCAAACAAACTGTCAAATCCAAAAGATACTATTACATCTTTATGTGTGCATAGAAAGGTAATAGTCGTTAAACATTAAATAAAATTAGACGGTAGTCACAATATTCGGATGTCAAAGAATAAGTCTTTATAAGTACGTGACCACGAAAACTGTACAACTTATTCAAATCATCGGAAATAATAAAACAAAAAGAAATTTAACAGATGAATTGAATCGTTAAAATCGTAAGTCTGTAATTTTATTTTATTGAAGTACGCAGCCTAAGTCTTCGCCTTTAAGTATTGAGAAAAAACAAGGTTTATTCCAATTTTACTACCATCATAGCGGCTTATTCTCGGATATAAAATGGTCTAGGTATGGCAATAAGATATCTCAGATATTGGTCTTAGTTATTATAGATGAAAGACATATAAAGTATAGGCAATATTTAAAAAAACCTACTTATTTTAGTTATAACGAAAACCGGATGTTGTTGAAGTCAGTACTTGAACAAGCTGTATGCTTTATTCTTAAAGAAAACGCGCCAACAAATGTCATGTCACGAATAACATAACACAATGTTTTAAGTCATAAAAGTCTTTTAAATCTAGTGGCATTCTATACTCTTTTATAAGTAAGATTTATTATTAGGTTTAATGTAATCTGACGTTGGGATTGTATGTATCTGGTTTGTTAACTCGTATCTTGTTATCTGAGATGCGGGCCACGGAAACACTATAATTTCCACTCATTTAAAATAACTCATGTGATTTATATCGACAACGCCACGATATATTAACAGAGTATCTCACGTATTATTAAAACGTAAAGGCATTTATGGTGATTCAAATGTTAAACATGAAACATTTCGGATAAAGTCAGGGACATATTGAAGACTACCTTGAAATCAGATTCAATAAAACCGTCAGTCAGTCTCACTTGAATATCATTGACTTCTCACGAGTAATTATAATTTAAAAGAGTCGAATAAGGTCTCGTATTGCGCAATGGAGGTTGTTTCATTTAATAGGTAGTAACGGATTGATTTATGGAACAACTAAATCGAGCATGGGAAAATAATCGTAATCTTTCGAGTTCATTGCTTGGAAACTGTGATATTTGATCGCTGCAGATGCAATGCGCTCACAGTTACTACATATAAACCTGCATGCTGTTACATCATATTTCACGTCTCTCTCCGCTCGCTTCGAGATATTTCATATTATAAGACTATAATTAATAGGAATGTATTTTATTTATTTATTTTATTTATTTATTTATGTACACACAGAAAACAAGACACAGTACAGAGTAATAGGAAAATTATGTACAAAGGCACTGCTTATTTCTTTGAGAAATCTCTTCCAGCAGACCTGCGAGAGGATAATGAGAATAATAATAAAAAGTGATAAGTGTGTGTAAGAGTACTTAAAGTACTTAAGAGACGGTCTCGAATTCGTTCGCTAATTCTCAAATGATACTTGTGACACACTAATTTTCAACTAACAAAGAATAGTGATAAGAATTTTATCGGACAACGAACTCGGGAACAATTGCGTAAATGAATACTGGCTGTACAATTCACCTGGTTTGCGTAATGTAAATGTTTAACTTTGTTCGTTTTTAGGGTTCTGTAGCCATGTAGCAAAAAGCAGAATAGTAAGAATTTTGTCTAATATTCTAAACATCTTACTTATGACTATTATTAGGCACGTAACGGTAGGAGTAGAAAAATGAAATGCAAAAATTGTTTTTTGATAAACTACTTCTATTGTAGTGATTTGAGTAAGAGTTACATTATACACCCAAAGTCAATAACTTTGTTCATTTATATTTAAAGTCGGCCAAAAAGGGGAGCGTTTATATATTTTTTTAAATGGTCAAGATGAAAATTAAGCTATTAATTAATAAATTATTTAACAAAACATTGTTTGGACAATATAATAATATGCTCTATGTAATTTTTGAGATTTGAGATGTGTTTTTCACACGCTTTATAGGATATGAGCGAATAATACAATTTTAAATTTTAGAAGAATAAACATAAGCCGCGCAAATTTACTTTCTTAAAATAAAAACAAAACAAATATAATTGGAATATTCACAAATATATTTACAGTTAAGCTCATTAATTTGTTACCCTGTCAGTTTATGAACATTTTAAATGTACATTAATTCTAGAAGAACTACATTCAGAAATGTAGTTCCAAACAAGCAGGCAGATATTTTGGAAAATTTACGAGCAATTAGTATGTATAATAGGAATAGGTATACCTACATACATATACATACTGCATACGTGTTGTACAGTCATTGTTTTTGTATGCTTAAAAATATAATTATTCAAAGTGACGTATTTTTCAAACTAATAGCTTTGTTGTTTACCTGCTTTTTTTACTATTACTGTTCAGGCGATAGTTTTTCAACTGAATTGTAATTTTGAATTTTAATATCAACAGTATTTAAAATCAGTACTAATTATCTTATTTCGTTTGTTTTCTTTTTCAAACGTTTTAATTATTTCTTTCGTAGCAAAGTTGATTGTTCGGAATAATAAAAAAGATAGGTATCGGTATTGTGAATAGTTATTTTAAAGCCTTTGTTGGATTCAGTAAGTTATCTGATCAAACGGTTAATAAATATGTATCAAGATAGCGTAGTTATTTTTGAAACTATTGTTAAGAACGAAGAGTCGCGTACCTTAGATATGGGTATAAAGTGGTCCAGCCGTACTAATAAGAACAAATTAAAAACTGTTGGGTTTTTCCGTTTCTACGTCAGAATCAGCGATTCGTGTAATGTAATCAAGTACCAAATAGCGAACATTAAATCTATATATATAAAAATGAATTGCTGTTCGTTAGTCTCGCTAAAACTCGAGAATGGCTGGACCGATTTGGCTAATTTTGGTCTTGAATTATTTGTGGAAGTCCAGAGAAGGTTTAAAAGGTAGATAAATATGAAAATGCTCGGAATTAAATAAAAATAACAATTTTGTTTTTCCTTTGATGTGTCCCCCGTCGGACGGATGCCTTTTGTTTGTTTTAAGTTTATTTTATACAAAAGTTTAGGTCTTTTATTTATCGATTGAGGCACTACGAAGTCTGCCGGGTCAGCTAGTAAGTGAATATAACTAGAATTACAGAACGTTCTAGAATGTTCATAGCGAGTGAGTTTATGAATAGCGTGTGTTCTGTAAATAATAAATAAAAAAACGAATCGCAGTATTCAAGTGTTAAATACTTGAGCGGTCGGAATCACAAGCCGGCGCTTGATCACTGGATGGTTCGAAATTATCTCGAAACGTTTTTATGGTTCGCATTGGAATCCGGGAGGTGTTTTTTTTTTTTCTATCACGGGCCGTTCGAACTCCAAAACAGGTTTTAGATAGAGCTCGGTAATGCATTACAATGCGTCATGCGTTTTTTGTAAGAGCGGCAGATTCAACTTGTCTGAGGTACATAGTAATGGAATGGTAATAAGTTTTAATTAAGTAAGGTTTATTTAAAAAAAATCCAGATTGGTAGACAAGTGGTCGTCAGAGTCTAGGCGCGAATCACAAAATGAAAGATGCCATAGCATGAAAAGTGAGATGAAAGTCTCAAATTTTGTAATTTTCCTCCTTTAAACGTTTCATGCACTCAGAAATAAACTGGATCTTGGTACCGACCCGAGCAGACACAATAAATTCTACAAATTATTTACAATAAAGAGTTCCGTTTCAATTCTATTTCAAAAAGCCGCCGTAAAATTGTTGTAAGATTTTTCGAGAATATTCTAACTTTAATCTTTAGAATATTTTACGTCATACCAATTTGTGCAACTACATAAAACTATTTTCTAGCTTTTAATTATTAAATACCCGTGGAATAAGTAATGTGGCATATTTGTTTTTTTTAATAATGCAATCACACAGAATGCATTCTTATTTTAAATTCTGAATCCGACTAATAATAAAATCACTTCAAGATACAATCTCTTTACAAAACATATTCTGTCAAATGCAGAACAACAAAGATTTTTTTCTAAAATTAAAATTATTATCATTTACGTACGTCCTTGAAGTTAGTTACCTGTTATTATATCGTAATTAGCATCGTACTAGATTCTTGATCTAATTCGATATTACAATGATTAATGTGTTATTGGCAATGGTTATCTCAGAGCGAATAAATTTGCCTAACTTCATTCAGAGAACCGGCAATCAGGTTTATGTCTTCATTAAACGAGACCTTTTTGGGTTATCAGTAATATTCCAAATTTTGGATATAAACTTAAATATTTTAAGATACGTACTTTGATACGTACTTTACTTATTTTGATGTTTGTTCTGGTATATAATACCTACTAATTGTAGGAAGAACTATTCAAGAGTTTTTCAAGTAATAGATGGGGGAAGCAGCTACCAGATATAAGTTAATGGTAACCAGTGATGGTTGATATTAACTATCTATAATTATCACCATAATACTGTATTAATACCTTATTATTAATGACGGAAAAATTTGATGGATCTCTTGAAAATATTTGGTACAATGTCGTAGTTTAAGTCTGTTTGGCTACTTACGACTGTCGCTGTCCACTTCATACCAGTTGGGATTTAAGCTCGTCTGCCCACCTACTATTGTAATAGTAATTTGCCGCCTTTCTAAGCGGAATATACCGTGATGTCGTAAGAAGCTGGTGATTTACGCTGATGGCTGATTTAAATTCGACTCAAGATTGTAATACGTAAGGTTTAGTACTTACGGACTGGCACTTTCTTCGGGTCAAAGTTAATGACCACTTCGTTGATTTTTTCGATCTTCGTCTGTGCCGCCTTAGACCGTATTGTTATCTCTTGCAGCTGCTCTGTTAGCTCGCTGAATATATCCTCGGCAAGAAGCACGAGCGAGGCGAGCTGTCTGAGCGCATTCGTCAAAGTGCAGTTAGTTACAGCTTGTAATTCTTCATCGGCAATTTTTGGCTTTCCATTTTCGTCTCGCAAACTTGTCCGTGACAAATACTTAGGTTCGACCGCACGTGGCACGAAAGGCATCTCGATATTAGTTCCGAAATATTCATTCACCCATTCCCGCACTGCGAATTAAATGTAATTCCCACATCCATTCAACACATTATCACAAAAAACGTCAGGTAACCGCCACTTTGAATTAACCGACATCCTGACCGGTGAACTTTCACTAAATCCCTTGTTTTTGCTAAGACATGCAGTTCAGGTTACGTATTAGTTGATGAGAAAATATTTTAATTCAGATAATAAGTTCAGAAAAGTTTCAAAGAAACTTCTTGTTTACGAAATCCCGCCATTATCATAGCAACACGCACCACACTCCCTATTCAATGCTGTCTGCAGAATGAATGGAATTGAATGGAACAAAATGTTCACAACGAATTGTGATACCAGCACTAAGAATAGCATATTTAGCAAAACTTCCAATGATTTTTATCAGGTGTAGTCTTACCCAATCTAATCTAAATTATGATATTAGATTACAATTAATCAACCCATCTGAACTGTTTTTGAGTGGTTACCGAACCGACACCACTATATGAAAACTACCGTTTACTATGAGACATGAGGTCAGAAGTCTTAATTGTTTTACAAAAAAGTTACATACAGAGCTTACACATTAAAATTCTAACGAGTTTAGGATAACGGCTTCGCGGCAAAACTAGACTTTTTATTCCTTAAACAGCTTTATTATATCTATATGACCTATCACTAGTAACTTGGTTGATAGACAGGGCGTATTGCAACCTTTATTGATAATAAAAATGGATAACGAGCTATCTGGATCTAGGCAGAATACAAGTTCATTTAATAAACGAAATGCAATTTTATTCATTTCAAACTTCGTGGACTTGCAACAGGGATGAAATAAAATCCTGCGTTCAACCTGGTTTCGAGAACGATTGTAATAAACGGGATAAAATAAAGATCGAAATATATTATGTTAAATTTATACTTTTATGCCAATTGGTTTTTCGTTGGTTTTTATTCAAAGTATTAACGATTTGTAGAACCAATTTTCGGATTAGTTTACTTGGAAAAACTGTAATAAAGAGAAGCAAACGAGCTTCTCTTGTCCGTTGTTCTTCATGTCTTTTTTCTAGTTAAATTAATTAAAATTATATTATTTTTCGTAAATTCGACAATAGTTAAAATTAACCATGTTTGAAATATTTCCTTTTTAACATAGCAACATTATTTCTTTTCATAAAATTTAATTTAGCGCCATCTAGGAAGACATAGGTGTACTCTAATGCGAAAGTGGCAAACTCATATTTTTTGACCTACCGCTTTAAATTGTTCGTTTGCGGGTCACGAGATGGCACGGGATTTTTATTCCTGTTTTTCTTCGTGATATTAGATCATAGATGTCGTTATTTTGCATTTTTAAAAACCATTTTCAAATTCCATACTCTAAACATTCTATCGAGCTTGAAAAGGTTTACAAAAGTAAAAAATTGACGCCTTGTCGTTTTTGATTTAATTGTAGTGCATCGAGCACATTGGCAATATGAGTATATTAGTACAATTTTGGCTATTCCCAAATTGTACCAGAATTATGCAGTCCCGATTTTTTTTTCTCCTCCCTATGCTGATAGCCTTGAGAGGCTATTTCAGCTTCTCCTTGACGTGTAGGTGAGCTCACGGGGCTCAAACCGGGTGTGATGCTAACACTGACCCTAGCAAGAGCAGTGCTTCGCAGAATTTACCACCAGATCGGAAGCCCCACCCGCTTAGAAGATCCGGCGAGAAACTCAGTGGGCTGTGTCTATGGATTAGTTCACTCGCAATCGACGGGTTCGACGAGGACGGTGACCGATGCTTGTGGTACATAAAAGCTCTTTTAATGGATCGGGAGGATCCGTAATGACGTGTTTAGGGCGACGTCAACTGTTTACCATTCGGCCTACAGGATCGGGTATGTAAATCTCCAAACAATGAACTTGTCTTAGATAAGGGTATTTTTCTCCCTTTTTGTTTTTTTATTTTTTTTTCGGTTTTCTGTAGTAGTAGTATTTTTGTAAATTGCTATGGACAGTGTGACGAATTGGTTGTTTTACTTTCATACCTCACTCTCCCTCTACATGTAATTAAATTGATACGATGCACTGTGACGTCTTGGCGTTTTTTATATATATATCATATTTATACAGGGACGTCTTAAACTAGGCTGGGGCCCTTGGGCACACAAGAATTTGTGGCCCTTTTGGAAAGTAAAAAAAAAGCGAATTATAATAACATTTTTTTACTGAGTATGACCATTTATTATAGGTAATCAAATACAGTATGATATAATAACATTAATTATATAAGAATGCTGCTGGTTTTTTGGTTACGATTACGATAATGGTTTCTTTCGGGATTTCTGTTGAGCAAAATATTCCATTATATCTTTAAAGTCAATTTTTTGAAAGATATCACTTTCTATGCCCATAATTGACAAATTACTCAGCCGTTCTTGTAACATTGTTGTTCGCAATTCATTTTTTATTCTCTTAAGCTGCGAAAATGACCGCTCTCGACTACAATTGGTAATCAAATTGTCGGTCCTTCGGGGCCCAGTGTATAATCTATGTCGGGGCCCCCTGAGAATGGGGGCCCTGGGCACGAGCCCCGTGTGCCCTTATGGTAAAGACGGTATTGTATTTATATAACACAGTAATTGTACGGCTTAAAGAGTATTCCATGTCCACATCCATATATTAATGGATACTTCGATCATCTTCTTTTTCTACATATTCGTTGGTAGCCTAATGGGCTATTCTAGTTTCTCGGGGACGGGTAGGTGAGCTCACGGGCTCAACCTGAGAGAATTTGTTAACACTAGCCCTAGCAAAATTGGTGCTTCGCAGAATCTACCACCGAATCGGGATCGCGTTACCCCGTTGCCTTGGTCGAATATGTAATTAGTACGTAATCACGACAAGAGGGTGGGTTATCATGTCATGCCGCTTTAACAAAGTAGCGTTCTGATGCCACCTTTAGATACTTACGTATCGGTTCTAAATTTAAATTGTCGTGAAGGTCGACGTTCCTCACTTACCATGGCTATCATGTAGAAACGGGATTGGATGACCTGGAGAAAGCTTAAGTGCACGCGGGCCGCGTGAGCTTACACTACTACATTTGCGTCATGGCGGGACGTAGGTGTGCAAGTTTTGTAGTGTCACCTTGTTGCACCTTATCGATCATCAGTTAAGGTTGACAGTCGCATTTCTATACTGTTTAAAACCGGTGTGAAAGTGCCGGAACTTCGATCAATAGTACTATTATTGATCGAAGTGCCGGAAGGTGTGAATTATGATTTCTGTCACATTAAAAAAAAAAGAGACCGCTATCGAAATAAGAATTAAAACCGTAGCGTTAATAGAAAACATAATTCATTAACAAGCAAAGCATTAATACTTGTCGTTTCCGCGCAAGGGCTGATTTCTGATTTACAAATGTAGCGGAGAAACAAAATCAAAATTTTGTAACTGAATTTTTAAGGGCTCCCATAATAGAAATCACGGTTTTAATTTTCAATGTTACGCGTATGTTTAACCACGTCAGCTGTATAGTTTAGGGATTATTTCAAAGAAAACACAAAATGCACAAAAAAATGTTGTATTACACAAAGCAACACATATTCGCAACGCATTTTCTTTTTGATACCTACATATATTTTTGTTTACATCCAATTACAAGCTCTATCTAACAATGCCTTGCATTTGCTTTACACCGATATTCATTAAATTTATTCAATACATATCTAGAAACAAGTATTTCTACTAAACTAGTACATACAATAGATATTATAACCTAAAAATCAACCTATGTGGCGACATTATAAATTTTGGAACGATATATAAAACAGGGTTAAATCTTAGTACAGGAACGCATGTATAAAGTTTATCAATGTGAATGAACAGAGTATTAAAACAGAAACGTGACTTTTTGGGGGGAACACGAGGAGTGACGTTGTGTGATTTGTTTTGTTTATTTAATGTTTCGGGTTCCATTCCACATCTGTACATGAAATAGTGGTAGTTACTTAAAGATTTAGTATCTTTTTCCTTATGAATAAGGGATTACAGGTGACCAAGAGGCCTTTCCAGTTTCATAAGCACAGGTGGGTGAGCAAGGGCTCAGCCAGGAGGGGTGGGATTTGCTAACAGCCACCCGAGCGTCTCTAAGGGAGACCTAACAACTCAAGAGCAACTGCTTCGCGAATGAATCTACTACCGGATCGGAATCGCGACCCGCTGACAAGATCCGGCCAGAAACATACCGGCTGCTGCGGGTGTTAGGAGGTTTAGCATCTGTTAAAGTGTTCAAGTATGGGGAAATTAAACAAAGACGCAAGATATAGCTGGTCGAGTACTTCCAAAAAATCATATTATGCAGGTATAAGATAGCTCATGCTTTTTTATCTATGTTTTATTTTCCGCTGAGAAACTCAGTGGGTTAATAAATTTTAAAATATGTTTATGTTTAAAATATCTAATAATAGTTTAAAGTTTAATCTTTGAAATTTATTAAGACCCGAAAATTACGGAAATGTTTGACTTCGAGCCCTATGGTATACAATAAAAATAAAATATGTGTTGATATACATAATACAAAAAAAATGCGAAAAAGAGAACCAACTTCAACAAAATATAATGAGAGAATATCATGAAAGTGTTATAGTCAATTTTAATTAATGCCTTTTTAAGAATAACAACTACTGGTACTGGAAATGAGAACCACCTTTTTTTAAGACAGTTAAACCAAGTATTTTTATGTAAGCAAAGAAAATTCAGGCGGATTGTCATATATAGTCTCTAATCAAAAGTGGTGAGTAAAACATAGTTGTGGTTTTGAACAATAATTTAAAATAATCATTGAAACACTAGTTTAAAAAAATGGCGTGAATTAAATGGTAGCTAATGGATTCGCACTGGAATATGTTTTAGATTAAGTGAATATAGTAGAAATTATAAAGACATTGAAGGTCATACAAATATAATGTGGATACATTTAAATATAATTTTAACAAAAACATTTTATCGTCAAACCTTATTACTAACGTATTTACGTAAGATATATGTAGCTAACTGCTACCGCATCATAAATAACTGAAGTTATCAGAGCCAACCATATGATTAATAATGCGAAAATGGTACGATTAATGAATGTTATTATAAAAGGGCAGGTGCAAGGAACAACATTGTAACATAATTTTAGTCAACACGATTTAGAATGTTATTCCTTGCATGCATCGCATATTTGACGTATTGTCAGTTGTCAATAAAATTTTTGGCTGATCGATCACTCGAAAAAAATGACCGTCACTTATTACTACTATGATCTAATATAGAATAAAATTAAATGTAATATTGTTTGTAAAAAGATCAGATTCTTACATATTCTCGACTGCAAAGCATTGGTAAAAGAAACTGAAAATAATATCAATTCACATTACTAAAATAATATAATGCTTATGTGAACTCTAGTAAGGGAAGTTTTATACAACTCCTGCATATTCTACTTCACTACGTAATAGAGTTTTAAATAGTGAGTAAGGTAATATTACGAATTATGTATGTTTTAAACATTGCTAGGTAAAATTTTCTTGCAAAAATATAAACATAAGATGACAATATCTGAGACTAGAAGTTTATTACATTACTATTTTTCTAAACAGTTTCGCATAAAAAGAAATTGCGAAACTATTATACCGGATTACTAATTCAACTATTTTCTATACTACAGTTACTTTTGTTAATAGTATCGATTATTTATATTCTACAACATTGCCTCACTATTCGCTTTCATATTCAATTGTAACATACATTATACTAGTACTTTAGCACAAAGCCTTAACCTATATTAATACACTTTGATTATTTAATAATTCATTAATAATAACAACATTTTTTACAAAAATTTCATTGATCACAATCTAAAATTTGTAGCATTATAAAAAGTGATGATAGAAGGATACAAAATTATAACATTTTATATTTATTTATTTGGCTCATTGGCACGTACATACGCGCTTTGAACGCGACTATTATTTCAAATTCTCAAACCGATTTAAATGAAACATTAAATGTACTAAGCTTAATTAATACACCGGTACCACGTAACCACGAACAAAATGGTATTGCTGTGTTGTGGTGAGGTCTGTTTATAACTACTTTGATATGTATACACAATAGATACTTACAAAGCTTTTGTTTAACGCATGTAATGATAAAAATTTAAAAACTTTACGATTTTTTTAAAACTGTTGCGGCTATTTATAATATATACACGATTACTTACCGAGTTTTTACCACCCATTTTACGAGTTCGCGATTTCGCTGAAAATTGTGGTAAAAACCCGTCTACTTCTTGTTAAAGTATGTACTTTATGTAAAATGTTCCTATACTCATTCTGAATTATCTAGTAATTATGGGATTAGTGTAGCATATCCAATAATCCAATCAAACATACGTCGATCTAAATTGTCCAAGATAACAACAATCTTATGTGACAACTACCAAATATAGTAATCATTGTTATCAAAGCACTTAGCATATTTGGCACAGTATTGGAAGATAAATGATTTAAACAAAATTTAATAACCTACAATAATTCACTACAAATACTAATTTACTGTTACACCCATATTTATAGATATTACATGTTATATGATAAGTATTTAACCGTACTAACTATTACAGAATACCTACTATTTCAATAGATCATGGTAGTCTACGAAATTATCTACTGCAAATATTGCGTAAGAAAGAAAATATAAAATCATTTGAAATGTAAATTTTCTAAAACAACGAAACAGCATTATAAAAACATTTTTTTTTTCCAATTCCTACATTTGTATTTGTGAGTTCACTGAATAAATATCCTTAAATCTACAAAACACGACATTTAATCTAGAGAAGGGAAATATTAGACTCATAAAATACGTTTATAGATTACGAGATACCTGAAGATATGATCAGTAGATCCAATAGAATTATTAGTAAAATTTGATTGTATATTATAGACAACAATAAGAAGCTCATCATTGATATGATACAGCGAGAGAATATTATGATAAAAGCCGACCAAATTGAATTCTTACCAAATCGGATCGGATTTCAAAACGGGCGGGTCTAAGTGAACAAGTCCCATGCGAGTTTGGTCAACTCACAGAAAAACGTACACTTTGTAGTTTAATCTTCGATCAACAACAATTGTTGATCGAAGAGTTTAATACTTACTATTTAAATTTGGCCGTCATGTTTTATGGACAGTTTTATTCTTATGAAAAATCTGGTTTTTGTAAATAAGACAATATTAAACTAAATTTACGTATAAATCGATGCCTCCAATGAACACTACTCTAACTCAAAAATTTGAAATTTTCGTTTTTCACGCAAATCGCTTCAGTATGTTAAAAGTATTATAATTAATCATTATTGATGGGGTTCGGAGCAAGAGTAGATCAGCTAGTTACACAAAAAAACCATAAATATATCTGCAATAATAAAGATTTTATCAACTTTTTCGTTTAAACGCTCCTCCTGTAAATCTACGAATTTGGAGTTAGCGTAGTGTTCATTGGAGGCATCGAAATGGAAACTATTTATACGTTTTTGAAATTACATGCGCATCTTCGGATAAGTTAGTGGCGAGTACATTCACGTACACAACTTAAATCTAATTCACACATAAGAGTCCAATAAATAAATTATCGCAAATAATATGAGTACTCGTCTCACTGGCCGCCGCTAATGCCACTCGAACATCCCTTATGTCTACCAACATAGAAGTCATGCTACAAATTTAATTTAAATACTAATACTATTTGTAGTGCAGGGCAAATACGTAGTTACCACAAATACCTTTGGATATTTTGGGTCAAGTCATAAATATAGATACCAAATACACGTAGATACAAAATAAAAAAATAAAAATTATAAAAATAATTGATGAGTATTCTTTTTATCACTATACATTTTTGTGACTAATTTTTTAAAACGACCTCTGGATAAAGTATAAGTAAATAACGTATTTATATTGAATAAAATTATTAGGAAATGGAATATTCGGTTTACACCAACTTTATAATGGTAGACATAATTTTCCAGTTATCCAAGAAGGCATGGTACCTTCTAGCGACGAGTCGATCTCTGGCGGTCGGTGAAAGAGTGTCTCATTTATTTGCGGACCCCGCGCTATGGGTCCACCTCATGGCAGACCTCCATGTAGTCGGGGTCATGCATGATGTCCTTGATCATGTCCTTGAGCATTGTGTACCGCGGGAACATGGGGTACACCTTCGAGCTGCTGTATTCCGACTGCAATTAAATAATACAATGCATCATATATTTTTGATGGAATGGTTTTTGTACCATATTTAATAACCCATATTTAATCCATACCCATATTTAATAACACTGTTGATTAATTTGGATTTAGCAAATGCTTTACAGGATTTGACCATTAATCATGTAAAATATTGCGTATCTATAATAATATTAGTATTATTATTACATATTGGGAACAGAGAGCCACTGACCTAGGTCTACCTAAGTTAGGATATTAGTCTACTGAAAGTAATATGACGTTTATGAAACTATATTTAAAAATCCACACACCTTTAATTCTCTGATGAGATTCCTCAGGCCTGTGTATTTCTTGAGTAGACGGTACAGATCGTTAGTCATTTGAGTGTTCTCGGTTTCTATCTGAGATGTTGTCATATCTGGAAAACAAACGTTTAAATTATACTAGCTTTTGCTCGCGACTGCGTTCGCGTGGAATAGTTACTTTGGCTTAACGCTAAATTTTACCTTCCACTTCATTTACGTAGAAAGTGAAAATATTTTGAAACTTTCTTTATTGGTGCTCCACTTGTATGGGTCTCATGATGTTATATAGCCTATAGCCTTCCTCAACAAATGGGCTATCTAACATTGAAAGAATTTTTAAAATCGGACCAGTAGTTCCTGAGATTAGCGCGTTCAAACAAACAAACTCTTCAGCTTTATAGATTTAAGTAAAATTAATTGCCACATGTATGATGGAGCTTCAAAAGAAAACGGCTCGATCCATCAAATCTTCTTAATTGTGTTCGTAGTTTGACAGGGCAAGGTTTGTATGAAAGATTTTTGTTGAAAATCAATCGATAAAGTTTAATGGTACGGTATTTCTATATTGACAGGGCAATGGCTTTGATTGAGATTAACCATCAGATGCGTCGTACGCTTATCAAATGACTACGAAGGCGTTAAATAAAAGAATAAAAAAGCAATCTTTGTTAAATTATAACATTTTATTAACGTTTTTCAATTCATTACGTTGAGTGTTTATCTCTCAGTATTTATAAAACCGCGACTGTAAATGTGCAATAAATGTTACAATAAACAATTAGCACAGAATATGAGGAATATATGTACGTTTTAAGTAAGAATTTCAATACATAATTGTGTTTCCTGATTGCATTAAAATCCACTTCATGATTTTTACACGGTTTCAATATAAAATAAAAAAAATAAACATATGGAATCTGAAATAAGAAAAATAATCACTGGGTCAAGAATATGTTTTTCTACTATTTCCGCCTATTCCTACCGTGAAGTAATAAGGCGTTCCGATCTGAAATTTACGACAGCCTTTATACTATACAATTGAGATTCAGACTTCATGTCTCAAATAAGTGGTACCATTCTGATTTACATGGGCCCGATAACCACTTAGCACCGATTCTGCGATAAGCTTGTTCCCCATTCAAGGGAATAAGTAAAAAAATAAGAAATATCATAAAAAAAATAGAGCATCTACGTCAACAAAAGTCTTGATTTAAGTGTCAAATATTCGGAAATAACAGCTACTAAGACTAGAACTCATAATCAAAAAGTTTTCGCACGAAGGGTTCGAAATCATAAATGGCGAGGGTAAATACATAAAGCCGTAGAGCACGGAGGTCTGGCGGGCTTACTCGTTTTATTGTTTTGTGCTTAATTCGTGCTTAGGGCGGACTTGTGGCTGCGACGCTTAATTTGGCTCCGAGAACCACCCCGTTTCATTCAAACAATTAGGATTTATTATTCGCAAAAATTAATTAAAATCTGGTTTATTGAATGGAACGAGTCGAATGAGTGTGTAAGAAAATTAGATTTTTTTTAAAACGTTTGATTTTACGAAAACAAACGTCTTGGAATTGATTCTATCTGTTTGAACACTGATTTGAACACATAGAATTTAATTAACAATTCAACAACAAATTCAATTTGAAGAAAGGAAAAATGTAACCTAAGAACACAATTTTAATAAAAAATTCTGTTGCAAATTCATACCGCATATCCTTGACGGGATTGTTCAATTACATTCAATACAAAAAGTATAAGAATCAGATTGCAGCGACGTCGAAATGTAATTACACGAGCGGTGGTTGTACTAACAGTCGTTCCAAGATTTTCCTTTCGGAACAAATATTCGGATTAAAACTTGGCTTAGCGCCAAACCTTTACGGTGTAACCAGGTTTCTTGTAGACGCGAACCAGTAGTTCGCATTGTCGTTTAGAGCGCATATAATTGTAAAAGCTGGAAAGAAATTGGAACTTGAAATTGGTTTTTGAAAAACTGCAAAGTTTCTGCTTGGAATTGGAGTTTGTTTTATTCAATATCCATTTTACATTTTAGACATTTGCAGACTGTTTAGAAATTTTAATGATCCAATTAATATTAATCATATTAATTGGATATTAATTATATTAATTATATTAATTGGATACATTACCAAATTTTATAGTCTACGAGTATAGGGATAGACCGAAGAGTTTGAAAACCATATTTAAATGTACCGTTCAGACGCTCTATCCGCTCCCTTCGATCGGCAGCTTCTTCTGCCAGTTTCTGAGAAGTTTTTACACCTTCCCCCGATTTCTGGGTTTTTTCCATGATGGCACAAGCACGAAGTACAAAAGCGGGAACAGTTTCTGCCTTCTCCTGACGGGGAATTTCTACCAACGACCAATACTGGGTTTCCAAGCGGATGACGTCCTGTAATTAATAAAGTAATAAATAATATAGGCAGATAAGTACTTAGCACAAGAATGCGACGACTCGAAAAATAAGAAGAATATAACGCTTTTTTATTAGCCATAACAGTTTTAAAATAAAAATGAAATGTCTCTTTTTGTTGGTAATTTTGCTAAAAAATATGCAAATTTTATATATTGATTTCAATAGTACAGCATTTACGTGGTAGGTCATGACACATGTAAGTGGCAATAACTTATTGGACAAGAGCAACTCCTGAGTTTTTTTTTTGTTGCATTGATGGGTGGACGAGCTCACAGCCCATCTACTATTAAGTGGTTACTGGAGCCCATAGACATCTACAACGTAACCGCGCCACCCACCTTGAGATATAAGTTCTAAGGTCTCAAGTATATGTAGTTACAATTCTAAGGTCTCAAGTATATGTAGTTACAACAGCTACGGTTTCTTGAAGATTCTGCTTAGCAGTGAACCTGCATACTAAATCAATGGTAAATAAAGTCTTGTCGCCTTAAAAGTGCACGTAAAGGTCTACATAAATGAAAACATTTTGAAGTATTTATCACAACTATGAATCTTCAAAATTTAATCAACAAATTAATAAACTTTAAAACAGCGACATTTAATCCGGCGATGTTATTGAATAAAATGATTTGTACATATAACCTATATACATACATAACACTTAAGCGACATAACAAACACTGAGACTTCACTCCTATAACAATAAATGTTGCTGTAAAATAAACGATCTTTGTTGAGAATTGCTAATTAGCGTTTTGTCTGTTCAATTTTGCGCCACTTAGCTCTTGTCTCGCTTATTAGTAAAGATGACTGGCAAGTTCTTACAAAAAACAAAGCGTTTCTTAACAGTGCCAACTAAATTGATGTTCAAAGTGCCTTCAATTGAAAGCCGTCAATGAAATTGTTCTAAATCTTAGTTTACAAATGTCATTGGCTTTGATATCTGTATCAAAGGGAGGTATTTTTATTCTGAATGTGCTCGTACTCTCGGAGAACCGAGAGAATAATACATTCGACGCTTGAAAGGCAAACGTTACTAAGCGACAATAACTGTTTTTTTTTTTTATGATTGAAGAATTACTGGTGGCCCGGAGGCCTTTCCAGTTTCACCAGGACAGGTGGGCGAGCAAAGACTCAGCCAGGAGGGGTAGGATTTGCTAACAGCTACCCAAGCGCCTCCGAAGGAGACCTAACAGCTCAAGAGTAGCTGCTTCGCGAATGAATCTACTACCGGATCGGAATCGCGACTGAGAAGATCCAGCGAGAAACTCAGCGAGCTGATTCATGGGTTAGGTTGCACGGCAAACTCTTTGTCGAGTTCGACGAGTATGGTTACCGAGGTCCCTAAGCCCGCTCCTAGTGTTAGAGCTGAAGGCGTCTAATGCAAAGGTTATTGGATCTGATGGATCCGTAAGGACGTGTCTAGGGCGTCGACGGTGACTGGCTCTTGCGTGATCAAGATTCGGGAAGTAGTGAGCGGCGGCAACGATAAGGCGATTATCATGACGCATAGCCTTATCGAAGTACCGAACTGCTTTGTACATAAATGATAGGCAATAGCCACATTCGATGCGCAAAAAAAAATATTTCTAGGTCTAATAACATTTCAATCCTACAGCTAGATTCGTTAAAATATAATTCTTTTCAGGTACATATTTCAACTTTAAATTAGTCTACTGGAAAGTTCACGCATTGTCGCTTAGTCACGTTTGCCTTTCAAGCGTCGAATATAGAATGTGTTGTTGCATTTTAAAATATATTCTAACTATACTATACTTGTAACTATACTTGAGACCTTCGAACTTATATCTCAAGGTGGGTGGCGCATTTACGTTGTAGATGTCTATGGGCTCCAGTAACCACTCAACACCAGGTGGGCTGTGAGCTCGTCCACCCATCTAAGCAATAAAAAAAAAAAATCTAAAACAATTTATTACGAACACAGAGCCATACAAACTATGTATATTGCGCGGATATGAAATTCATATCACTTTGTTAAGGTTATATCGTCGTGAAGCGAAGCAGAAGTGTCTTTGTTCTAAAGTGCTTGTTAGTCGTCGTCGTTCACTTTTCACGCATCGATAACTTTATTCAAAAGTTGCAATTAGAGGGATCTCGGTTTTCACATTTAAGATATTGTTTTAATAATGAAACAATTGTTTTATGAGAGAAGTCAGTTTACAGGTCACTATTCCATGCCCTTCATGAAGCTAAGGATCGCAGCAGATGGAGGGAAATCGTACTAGAGAAACTGATGCAGCGGGGGAGTAACGACCCTCAGTAGGAGGAGGAGGATTTCATGGAACTGCAGTCGGGATAGAACCTTCAGTAACAGAACCTTCGGTAGGCAGCGGGTTGGGCAGAGCCAAACCCCTAGCATTGCTGAAGTCCATGGGCGAAGGTAACCACTCACCATCAGGTGGGCTGTATGCTCGTCTGCCTACACAGGCAATAATAAATAAATAAAAAAGTCGGCTATGCTCGACGATTTGTATAAATAGTGCTTCTAATAAGCAGAATGTGCATTTCCCCCCTAGTCTTTCATTTTATTACAAGGCATATTATTGCACTATGATAGTTTTATTCACAGAACAATAAAAGGTCAGGTATTTGGTATCGTCTTATTTGTTAATGATGTGTGTTTGATTTCATAATGCTACCCAAACTAAATAAACTGTCAAAGTAAAAAAAAAACTGGCGGTACTGGTGGTAGGACCTCTTGTGAGTCCGCGCGGGTGGGTACCACCAGCCTGCCTATTTCTGCCGTAAAGCAGTAATGCGTTTCGGTTTGAAGGGCGGGGCAGCCGTTGTAACTATATTGAGATCTTAGAACTTATATCTCAAGATGGGTGGCGCATTTACGTTGTGGATGTCTATGGGCTCCAGTAACCACTTAACACCAGGTGGGCTGTGAGCTCATCCACCCATCTAAGCAATAAAAAAAAAATACACTTTTCACAACACTTCATTTTAGTAAATATTTTTTGAAACAACCAAATAAATCGTTTAAATGCACAGGATCATTCTCGTTGCAGATCAATTTTCGGCGAAGCACAATGTTTTAACGCTACCCATAAAATCTACGGAGGGCAATTTCAATTTGCAATATTCATTTTTAAAGAATGCTGTTTTATAGGTTTTTCACTACCGGCCAGTTTTTTATTGTTGTTTTTGATTCTATTTACTAAAGCGACCATTAATAATTGTAAATAGACATGCTTTAACAAAAACCGAATTCAAATTGAAAAAAAAAGATATTCCAAAACAAATTAATATACACTAAATACAATAATCATCGAAATCGCTTGGCGTGATATTGAGTTATTCATCTATTTGTCACGCAGGTACTTAATGCAAATTTAAGGCTTATATGGTTTTCTCATATATACCATTATCCGGACAGGATTAAATTGAAATGGGACCACACGGGAAGCGTCACCTTTCTATTAAAAAGATAATCATCAAAATCGATTCACCCAGTCAAAAGTTATGAGGTAACAAACATAAAAAAAAACATACAGTCGAGTTGAGAACCTCCTCCTTTTTTGAAATCGGTTAATAAAAGTCAAATGTGTCATCAAAGAGTCAAACATATACAATTCTTTCTCGGGCGGGAACGCGTCTTATTTCGGGCGTTTTTACTTTTCTTATTCAGTGCAGAAAGCTACGGAAGCTCCACCGTCTCCGGAGAGTTCACTTGAAGAAATATAATGAACGCCGGAGACCAATATTTTTTTTTAATAAAGTTTTCTCCTTGAGCTTCATTAATTCCTTGTATCTAAGTATTATTTAGTATTACATGCTGAAATAAAATTTATGTTGAGTAATTATTTTATTTCCGCTTTTAATGCTGAATTTTTATTTAAGTTTCAAAACGTTTTGTTTTGTTTCTTGTCCCGTTACGTGAATAGTGAAGTAGTGAATATATAAAGTGCTTCTATTGAGAATTTCTGATGACTCTATCAAAAATTTCGCTCTTAATATTTTTTTCGAAAAATGTATTTTCATATTCTTTCGCACTTTAAGTACTATTATTCTAAGTTGTTGGAATAATTTTGTTTTTAAATTAATAGAATGTAGCACAGATAATTTAAGGTTAACGTTTTAAAGACAACCTATGTTTTTATTTTTTTTTATTGCTTAGATGGGTGGAGGAGCTCACAGCCGACCTGGTGTTAAGTGGTTACTGGAGCCCATAGACATCCACAGCGTAAATGCGCCACCCACCTTGAGATATAAGTTCTAAAGTCTCAAGTATAGTTACAACGGCCGCCCTACCCTTCAAACCGAAATGCATTACTGTTTCACGGCAGAAATAGGCAGGGTGGTGGTACCCGCCCGCACGGACTGACAAGAGGTCCTACCACCAGTGATTGTATTTTTGCTAGCTAACCTATACTGATTAAAGTTTTTGGCTAATCAACATGACGAAATACAAATAAATAAAGGCCAGCAAGCAGCAGATGAACAGAACGAACATACGGTTGGCCGTGTTAAGGAGCTTTAAGAAAAGAAAATGAATTCCGCTCAGTATGGGAATTGAGGTAAAACTGTCAGTCGTATTCTATCACTGGCGTTGCTGAAGTCCATGGGCGATGGTAACCACTCACCATCAGGTGGGCCGTATGCTCGTCTGCCTACAAGGGCAATAAAAAAATATTCGTTTCTCCATCGGCAGCAGATGCTACTATTTTCTTGCCTGTATTTTGTTCGTAAAATTTCATTCGATTTTCAGTGTTCGTGACCCGATACTCACGGCAGTTACGAGTGTGGCCCTTAATCACATTTCAGTCAAGTATCTGCGCGAGTTCAAACGCTCTGTAGTCGGTCAAGTGTCAGCAATATTATAACGCATTACAGCGGTATGCTGCTGTTGATTCATACATTATAGATTCGACCAGCAAATGTTGCGCAAATTTTCATATTTTTACGCTTTTTTCTGATGCGTATGCGTTTTTATGCTATTCATTTCTACG